TTTGCTTGTAGTGCATTTGAATTATTTCAAGCACTGAAAGTCTTTTCTCACTTATGAACCTGCTTTTGCTATTGAAGACCTAAAGCATTAGAAGACCAAACGAAATAATCCCTATGAAGATTCAATAAAGAATTTTAAACATATAATTTAATCGATGGTAAAGAAGTCTCAACGGTGGTAGAGTCGAAAGTTGTTAGGAAAACACGCTTCCAAATGCCTCTATAACTTTATCAATTTCGGAAGCGTTAGGAGATTTACAAAAAGGACAAAGACGCCAACGTCTTTACCTTTCATCTTTTACTTCGTTCAGGGTAAACCATTAGACCTGGTGTTATCTACGAATCTTGTCATAAGAACCGTTAGCAAATATTCTATTGCATTTCACAGTGTACTAGTGGGAGATCAGGTTAGTAGTGCCCAAATTTAATTTATTGGACTAAACTTGCAACAATAGGCCCGAGGAATGCGTCCAATCCTTTACAGATCCTAGAGATAAACGACAGAGCTCCTATGGGTGTTCCAGAATTCTTATCCGTTATGCATGAGTCGCAGTCAACGGTGGGTGACCGCGGTAAAAAAAGAGTTAGTATAAGTTTTCTTTCAGCTGAAACTATTGATTCTCCGAGCATGGAATGTCCAACCCGCAACAGAGGCGAGAATGTCTTGGGTTAAGAAACAAGATAATTACTCTTATTTTATAGTAGGTAAGATGCATACGTTAAGGTTGAAAGAGCTGAGCTTTCTGGTATATATGTTCCTGTTTTACAGATGTCTATCGCTTCAAAAATTTTCGTAATGGATTCGATGTAAAATTCATCAATAAGCAATGTCATGTAACTAGGGTATATTTAAAGCGCTAATTTTTGAAAATTGTTCTACAGTTTTGAATTATCGTAGGTCGAAAGCAACAGTCGTGGAGCACATGCATTTTTGAGAGGCGACAGGTTGCTGGATGTCGATTCTATACCGGTCAGTAATATTACCTTGTACTATTGTATTCCAGTCATAAATTTCTATATTTATCCCTTATTATTTTATTGCCAGTGAAATAAAGGGATTTTCCGTTAACCTTTGACCCTTCCCTTCCCAAAAATTTATGTGGGGGAAGAATTACGGTATTAAGCTGAGCTAACTCTCAAAAAACACCCCAGGAAAACATGGTCGTGTT